CAATGTTAAAACTACATTTTTAAATGGAAATTTAGATGAAGAAATCTATATGGAACAACTTAAGGGGTTTTCATCATTGTGGCGGGAAAAGATAGACTGTAAATTGGTCAAATTATTATATAATTTGAAACAAACACCCAAACAATGGCATAAAAAATTTGATAATGTCATGATGGAGTGTGAATTTAAAATTAACGAGTATGACAAATGTGTTTATGTCAACGACATTGAAAATGATTATATCATATTATGTCATTATGTTAACGACATGCTTATTGTTGGTAATGATAATAAGATGATTGAATCCACTAAAAATATGTTAAATTTAAGATTTGACATGAAAGATATGAGTTTAGCTAATGTTATACTTGTAGTAGAAATTTCGCGAACAACTGATGGGTTCGTTCTTTTAAAAAAATTCAATAAGGATGATTATGGCATGACCAAAATATCGATATATACAAGTCAACGTCTATCTAAAAATAAATGTGAAAGTGTCTTTCAAGTAGAATACTCGAGAATTATTGGAAGTCTAATATATTTGATGAGTTGTACAAGACTAGATACGGTCTACGCAATTAGTAAACTGAGTAAATACAATAATAATATAGGAGCTAATCACTGAAAATGAATAGTAAGAGTACCGAAGTACTTAAGATACACTCATAATTTTGGACAGCACAATGCCAGATATCCAACGGGCATTGAAAGATATAGTGATGCAAATTGGATATCTGATATAAGATATTCCAAGTCCTCCAGTAGTGGATTTGTGTTCATATTGGGAGGTGCAGCTATATTTTGAAAATCCTTTAAGCAAATAGTTATGGTCATATCTACTATAAAATCTGAGTTTATAACTCTAAATAAATGTAGTGAAGAGGATGATTTGTTATGCAACTTTTTAGAGGGTATTCCAATATGATCAAAACCCGTGCTAGCAATTTGCATACATTGTGATAGTCAATCAGTAATTGGTATGACACAGAGTAACATGTACAATGGTAAGTCTAGACTATACATAATAGACACAATATCATAAGGCAACTACTCTTAACTGGAGTTATTATTATTAACTATGTAAGGTCAAAATATAACATTGTGGATCTGATAACCAAATGATTAAATACAGAGTTAGTTGGAAAATCATCGAAAAGAATGTTATTCAAGCCTTTGTAAGGATAAGTTAATACAAAGGAAACTTAATTTAGTTGACTGGAGATCCCACATATAGGTTCAAAGAAACAACCTAATTTTAAAGACTTAATTGAATTACTATGGAGGATGCTAATTCCTGTCCATTCCTAGGATGCAACAGGTGTTGCCCGTTAGTATGAAGGATAAGCAATAGGCTTTTAATAATTCTTATGCATTGAAAATAGAGTGAAGTAATGAGAGTTATTTGCAACAAAAAATTACTTATGTGAGAGAGAAGTTGGGCTACTTCTAATAAAATTGTGTGGGGCTCAATTCTTAGGAACTCTCTCAGAACTAAGCATATGTTTATTACAAAAAATGAACATATTAATGATAAATGAAATGTGTTAGGGAGAATCATGTGTGAAGTATATCATCATTTACGTAAATAGCATAAAAGTTCAAAAACAACGTGTCTACGGGTCAGCTAATGAAGTAAATATGCTCTCGCAATGGAATGTTTAAAAGATAATACCTATTTGTCCAATGTAGGTATCAACCGTTGAACTATATCACTAAGATTTATGTATCACATTTTTGTGTTGCTCCCAATTTTCATTCATGTGGGAATTGTTGGAAAAATGACTTGGTTAAGCTTACTTTTGGCACAATTTTAGTTCGAACCTGTTGGTTCAATTTCTTTGAGAACATTGAAATCATATCTTTACTTGTCAAAAATAATAAACGAGTGAATGAGAAATTGGAGTTCAAAGTGAACTATTGGAAGAAGTTTTATAGAGAATCATATTTAAGTTTATCCCACATAGAAAGTTGATAAAAGCAATGACTACTTTATATATGGTTATACTTTAAAAAAATGTAATCATATGTAGCATAAACGGTCTCAATGTGTGCACGCAGAGGGTGCAAATCGAGGATCAAAATTATACATCGAGCCTTGAACTTGTTTGCCGACACGACCCACATATACAAATGTTAGACCAAACAGAGCAAAAATTGGCCTCTTAGGAGTGTCCACGTTTTGCTAATTTGTTTGTTTTCCCTAACTGACTTTTTAACATCTAAAACTGTTGAAACTCCAATGATTATTACCATTATAATATTGAATTAATGGATAAACTTACTCATCAATTAAGAGGGCCAAGTTTATAACTGAGCTCATTTTCCACCATTCAATACCAGAAAATTACTCTCTTCTGTATAATTTTCAGTTTTAGATCTCTGCATAATTTTCAATTCCATTTTTTAGAAAAATTTTCATTTTCCATCTAAGTCTTGGTGGTGCTGTTTTGATGCAAATTTATTTCACCAGAGTAAAAAAATGAAGTGCTAAAATTCTAATGGTTTTTTCGTTATCTTCTGGAAGAAAGATGTTCAAACTAAACCTCAAGCATTTACGGTGAGAAGACGAATATGTTTTAAGAAAATTACGTATACAAGAGCCTCGGGTTGTAAATTTACAGTATTCTTAGCATATATATTTTTTGTGGTGTTCATTCTCTGTTTATTTTCGTTCGTTCTTGCTGTATTAAATAAAAATCGTATTATTATATATTGTTGTAACAGTCATTTGAGGCTATTAATTGCAATTTTCTTCATCACTTTGAGCATTAAATGGGACTAAGACATCTCTACTTCGACACAGGTTTTGAGTATAAGAATTTCCATCGTCACCTTTGGGTCCCAGTTTTGCTCCCAACACCTTTACCGTTTCATTTATCTTGCAAATAATTTCATTTTGCACCCAATATCAATAGACTCCACCACTTTTCCCATTCTTTCTAGCGATTGCTCCGTTACAAGGGCTTGTTCCTTGTTCAGCTCTGATACCACTTGACAGATTTCTAGTTTTGTAAATAAAAACTAATAGAAGAAGAAAGAGATTTGTTTGAGAGAGCCTTGTCCTTCGTGGATAAGTTTTACAGGAACCTAAACCTCCAATATGATGATTTCAAGTGTTCAAAGACTAACTCCATGTGTTATTTTAATAAAGTGAAGGGTTTTCCATAGCAAAAATTTTACCATTAATCCTTCATCTATGGACAATGTTGCAACTTGTTCTTGGTCCCCACTTGTTTGGCACCATCTTCTCCAACATTAGGTATCATTTTTGATTGATTTTGACTGCCAAATATTTCTATGTAAACAACTATTATTGATACATCACGTAGAACGCCAAAGACAACTTCAAACTAATACATCAAACAGAAAACCAATATTATATATTTACATAATTGAAAAAGTCAACAAAATAATAAACAATGAAGAAACATCAACGTGATTTTTCTTTGTAGGGCCTGACCATGAAACTTCACCTTGCGTAGAGTCATTTTCAGTCAAACGGTTCACATTACCTTTGAAAGAAAATTTTGTATAAAGAAATATGTCCCACTAACAACTTTAGCTAGTGGAAGACTAGAAAATTGATCAACCTTTCTTTTCATCTAAAAATGAATATCAGTACCAATAATATCGATCTCCAGCTATACATTTTAGTATGAAATTCTTAATTTTCACTGCAATGGTCCACAATATTTACCTACCTACCTTTTTATTTCTTTATAATAGAATATTTGGTTCATGAACCGTGGGGTGGAAAGGTAAGGGATATATTAAAGGGACAACTACAACAGAAGCTCCAAATTTTTTCAACACTAGCAAACTTTCCTCTACCTTTCATTTATTGCAACCATCACCTCAAAACTTTCAAAACGTTGCACCTGAGGCCCTGTTGGATGGAATCCGTCCAATTTACCGTTAGTTGACCTAAAAAAGTGATTTGAACATCTTTTAACTTTTTTTTTAAGGACAAAATTGTAATCTTGATATATTTCCCCCATATTTCCCCCTTGGTCAAGATCTGGCCCTCTAACTCCCATCGCCACTGATCTGATGAATGCTGTTGAGGCAGGCGCAATGGTAGTCGCTTCCGATGGCTCCGAATCTTCTTGCATTGGTGGTAAGAACCTTGGGCCACTACTTGCTATATGAAAATATAGGAGTAAGAAATCAAAATGTTTAAAAAATTAAACCTCGAACAAAAAAAAATTTGCACTGGAACATATACCTGGTAATTGGGGAGGAGGTGGGAAGCGGTTGCGAAAAATGGAGGCAAAGAAGCGGTGAGCCCCATAAGAGATGAGCTTGGAGGTCAGGTCCATCACAAGCTTATTCAACCAGCTAGAGTTGTTATTGTTGGTGGTGACGGTGGAAATTCCTCAGAAAGCACTACGGGGGCGATCATACGGTGTCGTATGGTTGGCCCTACGGGACGGCCTTCTGCGGAGCTTTCCTCCCATCCGTTCTCCTTCTCCGCCATCATAAGAGGAAGCGATGCCGTCTGTATTGGTTGTGACTCCTCCTTTGCCCGTCGCCGCCATTTGAAAATGAAGTATTGTGTAGAGTGAAATTTAGAGAGGGAAAATATAGAGAGATAAAAGAGAAGTCGAATATTAGGTACACCACAACCTCCATCCTTCAACAATTGTTGTCGAGGAAGTTCTAGCGCATCCTCACCTCCAACTTCGACTGTTGAGGCACTCTTGGTGTGGGACAAGCACCAGATTTGTGCCACAACGGAAGGATTGATCAAGTTTACCATTTTGTCCTTATAAAAATAGTTAAGAGATGGTGAAACTCACTTGTTTAGGTCAACTAACGGTAAATTGGATGGATTCCATCCAAAAAGACCTCAGATGCAACGTTTTGAAAGATTTAGGGTGACGACTACAACAAATGAAAGGTTAGGGAAAAGTCTGCTGATGTTTAAAAGTCATGGAGCTTCTTCTACAATTATCCCTATATTAAAAGAATATACAGCTTTCCCTATAACATACATTGAAACACAAAACAAATTGGAAAATGAAGAAATCAAGGGCTGCTTCATCTGCTTTCATTATTACTCTGGTTAATCTGCTGCTACTACCAAATGCATCATTGGGGGATCCAAGAGCTCAGGTGTCTAATTTAACGTGCGGGAACCAAATTGCTAGAAATAACAACATTTTTATCCAGAACTTTGTGTCGACAATGGAAAATCTAAGTGCCCAATTGTCAACTTCAAATTTTGGTGTAGCAGAATCAGGCTCAGGAGTTGACACGGATCATGGACTTGTACAATGCTATGGTGATCTTTCTTCATCTGAATGTATATTATGCTTCTCTCAAGCGCGCTCTATTATGCCTCGGTGCTACCCTTTCAACAGCGCAACGCTTTTCCTTGATGGCTGCTTTTTGCGAACTGAGACTTACAGTTTTTTTCAAGAGTATACTGGACCAAACGACATGGCTGTATGTAATAATAGAACCAGAAAGAATTCGGCATTTCAGGCATCAGCAAGACAGGCTGTGTCACAGGCAGTTTCAGAAGTACTAAACAACAGTGGCTATGGACGGGCTCAAGTGCCCGTGTCTGGGACATCAAATGAGTCCGCTTATGTTCTTGCTAACTGCTGGAGATCACTAAGTGATAGTTCTTGCAGAGCGTGTATAGAAAATGCGTCTGCATCTATATTGGGATGTTTACCATGGTCCGAGGGTCGGGCACTGAATACAGGGTGCTTTATGAGATATTCAGACACCAACTTTCTTAATCCTATACCGGGAAATAGAAATTCAAGAGGTAAAAACAACTTTATGTTCTTCTCCCTAGCATTGCTACAATAATTTTCTTCCCTCCGATCCCTTTCACTGTGATTGTTTCTGTTGAGACTTGGCCACTCGAATTTTCGATATCCCTTTTTATTTCTCATCAAACGAATTGCATCTTCTTCTGGAAATTCTAGCTATTCTCAACATGATATTGTGAAATAACCTATTAGGATTAGCCTTATTTTCTTACAAACAAAAGACCATTCCCATTTGTCTAACGAATGGGAGAGTTTTGTTGGCACTTTACCTACACCTCTCTCTTTAAATTGTAGAGATTCTTACTGTGTTTCTTAAGAAGCTAAAACTTCATTTAAATCTAGCTAGATAATGATTTTAAACTGACTTCTGCAGGGAAAACAGAAGTTATAATAGCGGCAGCTGTTAGTTCGACTGTTATTTTGATTATTGGAGCAGTCATTGGGGTTTATATTTTGAAGCATAGAACAATACAGAAGAAGAGAAAAGGTAGAAATGCATTTTGCCTATGTTTGTTTGAAATGTCAAAGGCAGTTATTGAATCATATGTGAAATTATTGAATATGAGAATAGTCAGAAATGCGGCACATTTTTCCATCTTTTTCCGAAAGTTTCTTCACTTTCCCAGGTTGGGATGATGCAAAGAATTTAGTGAAGACTCTTCATGACAGCAGCTTGAACTTCAAATATTCGACACTTGAGAAAGCAACTGATTATTTTAATGAAGCCAACAAGCTTGGGCAAGGTGGATTTGCCACAGTGTATAAGGTCGGTTTTTTAATTAAAACACCATTAAAGCCTAGGCGGGATTGCCACAGCGCAATGCCGCTAGTCTGCAGACATGTATAATTTACACAATTACAGGAATCAAACCAACTATTATAGAGTGATATCTATACTAAATTTTCATGTCATTGCAGGGAGTTTTGCAAGATGGAAGAGAGATTGCTGTAAAGAGACTTTTCTTTAACAACAAACAAAGAGCAGCAAATTTCTACAATGAAGTCAACATTATTAGTAGTATTGAGCACAAAAATCTGGTGAGGTTGTTAGGATGCAGTTGCTCTGGACCTGAAAGTCTTCTTGTATATGATTTTTTACCAAACAAGAGTCTTGATTGCTTTATATTTGGTAGGTAGTACATTTCAAATTCTGGGTAACCAAGACTAGAATTTCTACAATGAGTAGCATTACTTTTTCTCTGTGTTAGGCAGTGAAAAAATTGATAAGCTGTTGTTATTTTGAATTTGACAGATTCAAGGAAAGGAAAAGAACTAAACTGGGACAAGAGATACGAGATAATTATCGGGACTGCGGAAGGGTTAGTCTTTCTCCATGAAAACACGAAAACCAAAATTGTTCACAGAGACATAAAAGCGAGTAATATCCTCTTAGACTCGAGATTCCGTGCACAAATTGCCGATTTTGGGTTGGCTAGGTCTTTTCAAGACGATAAAAGTCATATTAGCACCGTCATTGCAGGAACATTGTGAGTTTTTGTCATTTTATCTAGGAATTACTTTCATCAAGATTCTTCTAGGAAAATTGATAATAATTAATCTTCTTGTAAAATTGATACTATGTAGAGGATATATGGCTCCAGAGTATGTAGCTCATGGCCAGTTAACAGAAAAAGCAGATGTGTATGGCTTTGGTGTACTTCTACTTGAAATCGTCACTGGCAGGCAGAACAACAATAGCAAAGCATTAGAGTACTCAGACAGCTTGTTAAGTATTGTATGTTCTCAAATCTTTTTATTCATTGTATGTACTACTTGGTTCACCACTTCTATTTCATTCAGCTTCCTTTCAAAAGCCATATTAGCCTCAAGTATCAACTTCCCGTGAAAGCTGATCGAGCATTATACGTGTACTTGTAGACGTAGTATTTTTCAACAATGTCTCAAATTGATGCACAAGATGCTGAAAGTCCATAATGTTTAGGAGTGTCATCCCTGGGTAGTAGTCTCTAATATTGTTTTAGTGACT